TGATGTAGTCTTTAATATCCAATACCATCAATTGAATGTGGGATGGGAATGAAAGGATTAGTTTGAAACGTTTGCCATGAAAAAACAAAACCAGGAATTTCACTTCAAGAGGGCACCTCGGACATTTTAGTATTCAAACAAAATTTCTTCAAAATCCTACTAGAACTTTTAAAAAAATAAATAATAATAATAATAATGCTTACTAAGCTTCATCTCATGGCCATGATTAATCCATTCAATCTCAAAGATTAAAAAAAACACATCCAATGGCTAATATATAAATTTGAGGGTTAAATATTTAATATCAATTGTTGTAGGTGTTTTTAGCACAACTGACAATGAAGCATCAGCAGGGCTGAAACCTAAGTTATGGTATGGGATCACCTGTACACAAAGAGCAAAAGATCACCGTTAAGGGCACCGGTGTGGTACCGACTAAACCCTCTCCAATGCTTAAGTTAGTAAACTGGTGATAGTGAATGTTTATGAGTGATTTATGAATGAGAGCTTACTCATGGGCATGTTTGAGGGGCATATTTATAGTGAGCTACTACTGGTATGGGTCCGTCGAGGACCCATGTTATCCCAGCTGGAGGTGTCTGACGTGCCCTTGGAATACGTGCGGGACATTCCTTGGGCGCACGTGGTGGCTTGCTATTAAGGCGTGTGGTCAATGGCGGACTCAGGAATTTTTATAGGAGTAGGCTAAATTTTTTATTTTATTTTTAGAGGAGATATATTATAAGCCCTTTTCTCTCTTGAACAAAAATGTAAATAAAATTTTACAAATCAAACGAAGCCATATTACGAGCAAATATAACACAAAGATGTGCAAAATATAAATAAATACCAAACAATCTCATTCACGTACAAAACCATCCTTATCAACAAATCTTAAAACAATGGTCATTTGCTCTCTATTAGAGGCATCTTTTGCTTCATCAACAAGAATACAAAAAGTTGATTCCCCAAAAATACTAGACACCAAAAATCATATATGCTAATGAATTCAAGTTGCAAAAATAAAACATATATCAACAATCTTCAAAAGTTTTCACCCAGACCCTAAATCATAAAAACTTAACAACAACAACTAAAATTAGAAATTGAATATATATAAAAGAGAAAAACTTACCAAGATTGAAGAACCCACTCAAGATAGGTTGGTACAATTTTTTAGAGGAGGAGAGCTATTTCCTCTAGGCTCTCAAGATTCAAATATGGCGTTTTGGGTGGCTAGAAGAAATTTTTTGATGTTTGCTCTATGTGGATGTAGCCCAATATCAGTACGATTAGAATAGCTCAAGTTGGTAGAGCCTTATCGTGAGCTCTACTTCTAATCAAATTTATATAGGTTTGGATTGGATTGACGTTTATTATTTCCTATATGCTTCAGGAGTGGGACTGAGCTATTATTTACTTTACTTAGATTGGGCTATTATTAATTTATTATTATAAAAAAAAAACAATGCATGTGTGGGCTATATTTATTTGGTGCAATGGGCAAATATTTATTTGAGTAAGAATAAACCTTTAATAATAAGACCATATTTAATATTTTATAAATGATCCCCTAGGTTGGAGCCCACTCCAGCCTAGGCATAGGTCCGCCTTTGCGTGTGGTGGTATGCACGTGGCGGAGGTCGTCTTGGACGGGTAGGATATTTTAGGCTTGATAGACATAGCGAATCATGTAGTTTTATTTGTATTGTTATGGCTTGATTTTTTCAAGCTTTATCTATGTTTGATTATTCTGAGTTTACAATCTTAGTTGGGATGCCTATGCCAGAGTTTATTCGATCCTGCCTGATCGTTAGTGGAGACGCACCAGATTGTCTTAATTTTGATGTTAGACCGCTCCGTTATTGTAATCGCCCTTTGTGACTAGTTTGTTTTGGCCCCTTGTGGCTAATGGCTTTTTTGGCTGAATTATGAATGCAATCCTAGAATTTCTCCAAAAAAAAAAAAAAAAAAACAATGACATTAATGCATTGGACAATATATCTTTTGCCAAATTTACCCTTATTAAATGTATTAACTTTATATTTCCTTCAATTTACAACTTAACTTAAATAATTAAATTTTAAAAATAAACATTGAAAGTTCAATTAAATAAATATTTGAAAATAAAAACGAAGTATACTTCCCTAAAAAAAACTTTTTTCGGTTCTAAAAATAAGTTTTACAATAAAATCGTTAAAAATTATGGAATTTTAAAAAAAAATACAGATAAATATTTTTTAAAATTAATGAACATTCTAATTGATTAAAAAAGTTAAAAGATAAAAGGAAATAGAAAAAAAAATAAAATAATTGAAAACCCAAACCCATTACAGCATCTCTCTCTCCCTCTGACCCAAAACCCAGTCCCCTCCCTTGGCCAAAACAACGGCCCCCATCCCTACCCAATCATCACCATTCCTCTCCAATCCAAAACCCCACTGTGCACTATACTTCTCACTCTCTCTCCTCCTTCGTTTCCACCATACCCCAAAACCCATTCTCACTTCCCTCACCCAAAAAAGAGTAAATAGAATTTTTTTTATATATAAAAAAAACTGACGTTAATTTTGTGGAAGATGTTAAAATTCTCCTTTATTTTTTTCAACAATTTTAATGTAAAACCCATGTTCTATTTGATTTCTTATATGTTAGTAATTGTATAAAATGTCAAAATTTGAAACCATTTAAAAGCCCATAGTGAATACTCCTTCGATGAGTCGGTACAATATTATAGATCTCATCTCATGTTAGAGATTCAAAAAGAAACGAAAAATTGTTTCATTTTGCCACATAAAGTGGTCAGTTAAAGCGGTCAATGTTGTGTGTCTAAATAGCATTACTCTTTACCATTAGATGATGAGAGGCCTAGTAGATTGAAACAGTATAACACAAACTTTTGATTGAGTAGAAAGTAGAGAGTTGGGTCAACGGGGTCTAGTACAGTGGAGAAGGGTCTTGATTTTGTCTTAAGTTTGAACCCTCATAGCAACTTAGTATAATGTGTGTGAGAACTCATTTGTAGATTAAACTATCGCTTGTATTCGAAAAATGAAGTAGAAAAAAATAAACAGAACATAAATAATTAAAAAGATATGACGTATTGTTCCGACAAAAAACAAAAAACAAAAGATGTATTATTTTCAATAGAAGAATACTAGATGCAAGGTCAATGCCAAAAGTTCAACACAGAAGATGTATTATTCCCTAATACTTCTGTTACTCTTCCAGACCAATAACAAAACTAAATCTCCCACTTTCCAGACATCACCAACAAGAACTACCACTTCCGCTATTGTATTGACATCAGGCATTGTACTTTCGTGATAGACAGGAGGAAAGTAAGGCCGCAACATCAATTGCAATTTTCACCCGGAAAGTCAAAATACTCTAAGGAGGATGAAATCTGACCCATTCTCCAGGCAATCTCTATTATCTGGGTGACAATTAAAACAACAACCCCTCAACCCCAACTATCCCTGATAATACTCAGTTCAAAATAGCAAAAACAATATAACTCTATCCCAGGGAAAGCTCTACCTAGCTTCCAAAATAGTATCTCCCTCTCAAATAAACTATCATTCCACTCTAACAGTTCCCCAATCTGCTCTACTTGCCTTCTTAACAAAAAGACATGCCATCCCACCAGCACCTATGGAACACTCAAGACATCACACAGAGGGAGAGGGATGGGGGAGAGAGAGCCCAACAACTGTATGAACATGTATTACAACTCATATACTCATTTGCTTGAAACACATACAACATCAGAATCTTCCTTGTTTAATGAAAATTTTTCAACATCAGAATCTTTTCTATGAGAAAGTAAATGCCTAAGCAAAGTACTGTCTCTTTTACAATTTGCTTACTAATGATTCTTCCTCCTCCCTAAACAGACTTCTAATATTTCCTAAAACAAAGTATGACTCTTTTCATATTCTTCTGTAGCATCATGAATGACCTCAATAGATGAAATGGTCTCCATCACTTATGAAAAAAGTACAACAAAGGAATCTATATTCTTCTGTATGAGAATAACTAGACACAAAAGCATGTTGTGAAAAATGGACAAACACTTTCACTCACTCCCCTAATGATCTTGTTGTTGATGGACTTTGTGACACACACAATGATGGATGAATCACACACACACACTTGAGACAACAACCAAGCACAAAGTGACACAAGAATTTATAGAGGTTCAGCAATTGCCTACATCCTCTTGGTGATCCCCTTGAGAAATTCACTTCATGAAAGAATAAGTTACAACTTTGGTTTTACACAGAAAACCCCCTTAGAACTCTATTCTCTCCCCAAGCTCTCTTTTCTCTCACACCCCTTGCTCAACACTTTGATGCACTTGTGAACACTCTCACAACCCTTGGTGTTTCCCCCCTT